GGGCATGAAGTACTCATGGCAGGAAAAAGTACATAAAGGATTTCCGCATGGAGACCTACAGGAAGATGGGAGGATAATATTAAAAAGTATCTTAAAGAAACAGAATGGGAGTGTGGACTGGATTCATGTGGCTCAAGACAGACTAGTGGCGGGCTCTTGTGAACACACTAATGAAGCTTTGTGTTCCATAAAACACTGGGAATTTCATACGTGGTTGAGCAATCTGCTGGCTTCTCAAGGACCCAGCTCCATGGAGTTAATCAGTTATAAGGGGCCACGAGATAGGCACCTTGATTTATGTCTGTGCAAATAATTTATAATAATAATACAATAACATATCTTATAGAATACTCAAAATCTGATATTCTCTTCCATTACAGTACTGGACACGATTATTTGGCAAAATTAATAACATATCTTACAGAATACTGGAAATATAGTATTCATCTTCCACTTCAGTAATGGACAAGAATAAATGACAAATATAATACAAGCCGCAAAGTCGTGGGATCGAATCCCGATGAGGTGGATTTTTTTTTCAATTTATCTAATCCTTCTAGCCGCACTATGGCCCCGAGGTCGACTCAGCCTCTAACAGAAATGAGTACCAGGAATATTCCTGGGGGTAAAGGGCGGCCGGCGCGTAACTGCTGACAACCTTACCGCCATCTATGAGCCGATTGTCTAGAAAATGGGGGGCCTCAACATCGCACAACCCTACGGGCCTCCACAGCCTGTTACAGGGATACCTTTACTTTATAACATAATCTTACAGAATACTGGAAATCTGATATTCATCTTCCATTATAGTAAGGGACAGGATTATTTGGCAAATTTAACAACAAAGCCTATTTTCTCAAATATCAATTACCGTGTACATACAAACAAAGCGTCTGAATGGTTGAAATCTACTGAGGATCACTGTACTGACACTGCCTTTCAAATAATTTCAGCGTATGAAAGAATCGTTTCTATCCATTACCAAAACCTTTTAACTTTTTTTGCACTCAATTACTGAGCAGGCCTACACACTTCCATCGCTATGGATATAATACATTCAGAGTTAATAATTATATAATTTAGTGACCCATTTGCGAGCAAACTTTTATAGGGGTCTATATGCCTACTGGCTGAAGTTTTTCGGAAATTGTGTTAAGGATTAGGGAACTCCGCATCTTTCTAATTTCATCACAAAAAAATCACCTTCTACCCTGAAGATGCAGGAAGTATACGATGAAATACGAGTACCATTCTACCAGACTACATGGTGTCAGGCCAAGAAGATACTAATCTTCATATTCACCGCAGTGAGAACCGAAAAATTCACAAGAATGATTCCATTTAAAATCTGTATGCGTGTTTATTGCCTGCCTTCATACGAAATTCCGCGTGCTCCAAGAGCGATCCTTTCAACTAGATCCGTCAATGCGTTCGCTAACCTTCGCACTGAACCTACGCCGTTATTTTACATTCTAGATAAACATCAGTCTATTAAGAGTTTCATGTATTTTTCAGTTTTATCCCCACACAATTTCACGGTACTGTATTAAGATACATTAGTGTCCCTCCAATTTCAGAAGTTCGCACAGTCGCCATGTTGGTACTACTGGAGTCGGTAAAGCCATCGCTTGTACTTAATTATGTAATTAAGAGCTATGTCATAAAGGCTTATATGGAGTGGAGGTATAGCTCCACCATCCTTGACGTCGGAACTAGATGGAAGTGAGCGGTGAACTTCACGTCCCGGCAGCTTTACTCCAGGGACAGATCTCCCAGTAACCAGTGAATACCGCGACATAGCTCAAGCGGTTAGTCGCTGGATTCCCACCGTGGCGGCCCGGGTTCGATCCCGGGTCTGGTCAAGTGGGGTTTGTGGTGGACAAAGTGGAGCTGGGACAAGTTTTCTCAGAGTACTTCTGTCCCCCCCCCCCAAAAAAGCTGAATACATGGCCGGGTGGGCCTACAGCCGATCTGGGCGTTGTTGAGAAAAATCTCTAACCCTACCGGAAATCGAACCGTGGTCATCCAACCCAGCCTGGTTACTACACCGACTGAGCTAACCAGGCTCCTTTACTGGCAATGGTCCGAAATTTAATACGACGAGCCAGACACACATAACCACATGACAGTATAACAGTTCTGAACAGAAACTGCATTAAAAATGTTTCCCCAAACACATGATCAGGCTGTAGGCTGCGTGCAACCACATATCAACCCACCTACAGACCAACCGTCGTACGCCTAAACACAGCTTCCACGTTAAAATATCCCCTGAAAAATCGTCACAGAATAAGATGTCCACTTCAACAATACCCAATATGCATCCTACAGAGTAAAATACCCATGGGCAGAGCTGTGTCTATATCGGCACATGTATTTCTCGTATCTGTGAAGTAAACAACATACTACAAAGCAATATGCTTGTATATGAGAGGACGATAACAGAAATTCGTCGCGAAACACAAGAAGTTACTATTTTCACACTCTGATTATCTGCAAGCAACATGTGATTGTAGGGCACAACACAATAACTTCTTGAACTTAAACTGCATACCTGGCAACAATATGTGCTCCCCAGCGACAAAGAAATTCCTCGCGATTTCCACAGACCACGAACTGAATTTAAATGAATGGAATATGAAGTACAAAGAAGACCTAGAGACTAACTCGAAGTGGCAAAGAGAAGGCTTAACTTCACGTATGTCAGATTCCTGGAACCCTTCCGAGAAGAACATAACACTGAAAATGGCAAGCTTTTACGACTTAGGAAGATAAGCACAATAAAAAAAAAACTTCCAGCAAACATTCACACACAAACCAATATAGAGTTGAAAACATTGTGGCATCCCAAGGAGAGCAAAGACAGTCTGACCTGTAATTGTACACCTTATAATACACTTGAATCTGCCAACAAAAAATACAGGAGAACGAAGTATCGTCAGAGGCAGCTTTAATATAACAAGCATATATATTTTTCTTGTTTTGTCTTACTAAGAAAGAAATAAGAACCCCCCCCCCAATTTCACACGAGAAACCGGAAATTGTGAATGTATGACGCATAGGTTCCAATTAATTTATGCTATATGCATATTATTTTAATTTCAAGGCAGATTAGCTTAGAAAGATGCTTGAAGATTTAAGTAAAACATGTCCTGTTATATAAAATTATGAAGCTAAATAAATTGCACATACTCGTACTTTAAAGCGGATAACATTACTGAAAGACTTTCACGACTACTGCACGTTTTGCATTTACTTTTCACAGCGCTCCCTTATTTTGGATGTTAGCTTTCTGCAGACATTCTTGTACAGCGGACTTTCTCTTTGACTATAATCGTAGTTTCGCTGAACGAGCGTTCTCAGATAGCCCATTTAGAAACTTCTTTGTAATGAGAATTATTTTGCAACGGATCTATCCCTGAACTATGCTACAAACTGCAATGTCGCGGGTTCGGTTCCCGATGAGGCCACTGGATTTTTCAGTTGACCTAATCCTTCCAGCCCTGAGGTCGACTAAGCCTCTAACAGAAATGAGAACCAGGAATCTTCCTGGAGATAAGGGCAGCCGGCACGTAAGGCTGACTTCACCTCCATCTGCTGTGAGCCGACTGTCTAGAACATGTGACAGCCTCGACGTCTCACAACATTATGGGCTTCCACGGCCTCTTACCGGGATAGCTTTACCTTTTTTACCTACACCTGAAATTGAATGTTTGTTTGTTTGTTTGTTTGTAAACTAGTACCGAGTCACATTTTTTTGTATCCTGTTGCGTAAATCACTTTAGATGTTTATTATATTCCCTTATTTATGTATATATTTATATACATATTATTTATATTATTATATTTATGTATTCCTTTCATCACATTATCTATTGTTTGTCTATCTATCTATCTATCTATCTGCGTACCAGTCTATCTCTCTGTATATCTGTATCTACCTGTCTGTGTGTTGTGTTGACAGAAATAAAATAAATATTACCTACAAGTTAAGAAAAGTTTCACTTACTCATACATATCAATCTTTCCAAAAAAAAAACAGCAGTTCGCACAATAAAAGGCGCTGTGTATTATACGTATAGAGTATACACACGGGCGTGATTTTCTTTTGTAAAAATATTAAAGTGATCATTTTTATGGATACTAAAATTAGATCTGAAACCAATCAAAGTGAATTCGTAGTTCTAACTATGAGAATATTTGCTGTGTGTCTTTCACGGAAATTATAATCCTAAATGTAGAAAACGAAATAATACGGTTATTCGGAAAGTAAGCTCCATTTATTTTAGGCAACTAATGTAGGAGCGGGGGAGAGTTCGCGCATACGAGGTAGCGTCACGACTCGTTTGCCTTGTAAACAATCACATAACTGGTCACCTAGTGTTTGTTCTTGTCTGTACAAAGGAGTTATGATGTGTCCTGCGATTGATAATCCCGCCAGCTGCGAAATTCGCGCTGTTATCCGCTTTCTTCACGCTAAAAACATGAGTGCTGCTGAAATCCATTGTGAATTATGCGCAGTTTACGGCCAAAATGCAATAAGTGAAGGAACTGTATGACAGTGGTGTAGAATGTTCAAAGATGGGCCATCTGCAGTGGGTGACGATCTTGATCAAAGTGTCGGCCAAAAAATTTATGAATGACGGCGCTTCACAATTTCAGAACTTTCGTGTGAATTTCCACAAATCTCACGCACTGTTCTCTATGAGATCATCAAAGTTAGGATAGGTTATCACAAAATTTGCGCAAGATGGCTCCCGAAAATGCTCATAGATGGCGCATAAAACGCAGAAAATGGTTTCGGTTTTGACTTTTTTTAGAGCGATACCACAAAGACGGCGATGAACTTCTCAATCATATCGTACGAGTAACAAGTAATGAAACCTGGGTTTCATTTATGAATGCCGAAACCAAAAAGTAGTCAGAGCAGTGTATGCACACACATTCTCCAAATAAGCCGAAACAGTTTAAACGAACGCTGTCTGCCTGCCAAAAAGTTGATGGCAACTACTTTCTGGGACGAGGAAAGGAGTGGTGATGGTGGAATTCACACAATAATGTCAGAAGTGTACTGCGTAGGACCGGCCATTCAGAATAAAAAACTAGGAATGCTGACATACGGTTCAGTGCTCTTCCATGACAATGTGCGTTCGCGTAAAGCTGCTCGCACCCGAGCACTGTTAGAGCATTTCAACTGGGAGCTGTTTAATCACCATCCTTACAGCCCTGATCTCGCTCCAAGCGACTACCACCCGTTCACCTACTTGAAGAACTGGTTGGGATCACAGTGTTTCAATAATAATTCGGAGTTGATGGAAAGAGTCAAAACGTGGCTGAGTTCACAGGCGGCAGACTTCTTTGGCACAGGCATGCAAAACCTTATTCCCCGATACCAGTGCCTCAATTGCGGCGGTGACTAAGTTGAAAAGTAGCTTAAGTACTTAAATGTTTTTTTATATAATAAAATGTTTCTCTTCTTATTGCTTGTTCAGTTAGCAGCTCACCGGAGGTTACTTTCCAAATATTCCTCGTACAACCGATGCATTAATATGCGGGAGATAACAAACATTTTCACGAATGCTAACTTAGCAAACTGCATGTTCTTCTTGCTGCATCATGTAGGATTACAACCGAAAAATATCCAGTAATTTTCTAGTGACACACGGCCATGTAAGAGATTAACGTAACTATGAGAACAATGCATTTGAGTTCAGATCACATACCCGTGGAAAAAAAAACAATCAGGATAATACCCACTGGAGACGACACAAAGGGCTGCTGCTCACCCTCTCACGTGGTGTGTAACTAGAACATCCGGAGTAAAAGCATACGTTCGAACACCATGTACTCAACCATCATATATTAATCAACTGGCTTCTGCTTGGGAACGCCTCCCCCCCCCCTTCAACTTCTACCTCTGAGCGTGTTTTCGCAATACAGAAGCTCACCAGTCATTCGGATGATTAGCCTAGATTAAATTACAGTCTGACGTCATGAGACCAGGCTAATTACGCCCACACCTTACAGCACGTTATGTTACGAACGTTGTGTATACTCGGAACACGAAGGAAGTTCAGAGAGATAACGTATCGTATTTGCATACAACACATGAGAGTCTTGTGACAGAGGAACACGTGACAGAAAACGATTGGGGATAAAGACCGCTAACTTAATACATCATTAATTTCGTTAACAAATCGTTAAATCGTCTCCGTAACACGACACTCTTTATGAAGTTGGTAAACAATTTCCTGCTAAGTCCATTCTATGTGTGCCCCCAAGCTCTTGTTATTTCGGGACAATACGGAAAATTCGCCAATTCCGTGGAAAAATATTTAATTCTTGATATGAATTACTGCATGCTAGTATCTTGTGACTAAAGACTTAACGCATTATAAGGAATGGTTAATGATTGGCTAATACTCCAGGCCTATACGAGTAGATAAAGAAACGTAACGACTTATAAACAAATTGGTTGCATATTCAAGAGCGTTAACAAATTCAGTAAACAGACTCAAAACATATACACATGAAATCAATAAGAGTATCTGATTCTCAAAAGACATGTGTAAATGTTAACAAAACAGTAAGAATAAAGAATTATTCGAGAAATTAATCAGTTTACATAAGTGAAACGTTCTGTTGAATTTAAAATAACACACAAATTCAAATTAATGGGACTTGAGGAAAAAAACATCTTCTATCAATATGCAAAACAGTCACTTCAAATAACTGCATGACTGCATTTTATATGATTTGACAAGATTTTCTCTGCCTTCAGTATACACATCTAGCAATTTACAACCTTTCGCGAATCTCTCAAAGCATTTCCGCATGGAACAAATCCTTGCACGAGGCTCACTGTCTGTAAACATGCTTCTATTTGCTTTGTCTACTCTTCGACCCTGAGGGTAAAAGCTGGACGTTGCTGTGAATTGTCCGCAAACTCCTACAGGAATGCACGGCATACCATCGTATGCCATACTCCTCGGGCTTCTTCAGCATCATGGGGCAATGCTTAATGCAAACAGAATAAGACAAGAAAGATGAAAAAATCAGATCCAAGGATAATTACTAGGGATGGCAAACAAGTGACGTCTCGATACATAAGACAGAATGTCTCTTACTTCGTAGAAAACTGAATGACTTGTGCGTACAGAAATTATACATCAGGTCCTCTTTAAAATAAGACTGCGTCTGCGTTGAGATGGCGCCTGGGAATTCGGGTTAACGACCTCTGTAATTCTTCGAGCTTTTAAAAGTAGCAGCAGCAACAAGTGACAAATAAAGAAATTGTCAAATGAACATCGTGCTATTCTGCATGCACATCAAAACGCCACGTACTATGTTACGTACGTCCAAGGATGTCCCTGACACATTGAAGCTGTACTCGTCGCCTATAAGCAGCAATTAGGAATCCGCTAAACAATAAAACTCCGCGCCAGGCCATTTGGAACGATGGGGAAAATGAATCATGATGTTTCTAGTCCTCAGATTTTAAAAAGCTGGAGCGTAACGTGTGGCGTCGGCTTTCGGCCCTAATTCCGACAGTCGAGATCAGAAACGAATCGTGATAATTTAAACAAGTGGCAGAAAATGAATCCTTTATGGTGATTCGGTCATTCCAGCCTTACAACATAATGTTATTTAAAATCAAAATCGGCTACCCTTGTACCAGTTCCCTTGAAATCTAAATGCCCAAGATGTAAACAGGGCCAAATCACTTTACACATAATGACTCTGAAACAGCCGGAAGCCGTTCATGAACTGATACTTAACAGATTTAATCATTTCTGTTCATGACAACATGCCTCAAATGCTCATCTTTAAAGAACACTAAACCTAATACAATAATACATAAGTTCATGCAATTTAGCCATATAGACAAGGTGGCGCACCAGACGATCCAGTATTTGATTTAGTGTTAATTATTCAACCATGTAATGAACGATGTTTTGTAACGTGGTAAGATAGGAGATCATGGAGATTAGTTCTGATCCTTGTCGAGCGCGCTAGTATCACGCTGTTCCTGCTCATGGCGCCAGTTTACAAAAGATGGATGACAAAGAAAGACTATCTGTAGAACAACGCATAAAAACAGTGATCTTCTTTACTCATACAAGAAGTATTGGGATCACACAGGCGGTTTCTTACCCGCTTTCAAACGCGAAGGGCGTCTTCATTCAAAACAATTCATAAACTTTATGAACAGTTTAATAATAATACGTAGTTCAGTGTTGGAGAGGAAACGTTGCCGGCCTTCATCTGTGACTTCTCCGGAGAACATTGATGCTGTCGGACTGGCGCTGCAAAGAAGCCCCAGTTAATCAACAAGGCTGCAACATAACTAGGGATATCCAGACGACTTGTGCAACAAATATTGAAAAGTGATTTGAATTTGTATACATACAAAATGACAGTGTTGTCTAAACTTACATTTCAAAACAGATATCAAAGAATGGTATTCACTGAATGGGTTCAGAATAATGAGGTATCGTACAACAATGTTTCGTTTTCTTATGAGGCACACTTCCACTTGGATGCTGTGGTAAATAAATAAAAAGTGCGATTTGGGGCGTCTGAGAATCCACGTGTGACTCATGAGGTGCATCATGCACGGAAAATTACAGTGTCGGTCGCCATCTCAAGTCATGGACTGTTAGGGCCAATTTTCTTTGAAGAGACGGTGAACAGTGAGCGCCACTTAAGCATGTTGCGTAACACTTTTGTGCCTCACCCTCTTGCTATAGGTTTGCCTTACAAACTTAGTGGTTCATGCAGGGTGGAGCCAGAACGCACACAGCACATGTTGTTTTTGACTTTCTGCATTACACTTTCGACTCGCGTGTCATCTCAAACCGATTTCCTGGTCGCTTTGCATGCAGAAAAAACTGGCTCCCGAATAGTCCTGATTTAAACCCATGTGACTACTTTCTTGGGGATTCTTTTTTCCGAAAATGCCGCAAACAATAATGGAATTGCGAGCACTAATCATTCAGGCCCCCAACGAGATAACTGACGATATGTGCCGTCGAGTAATCAACATCGCAGTTCGTGTTGAAGAAGTTGCCAAAAGAGGTTAAACCCCATGTAATGGTCTTTCTTTTATTTAGTACGTTAGTTTCTTGTACTGTCACTGAAATAAAGATTTTATTAATAGATCAAGTACTGGATCATTTCGACACCATTCTGTATAATAGTATGGCTAGAGCTGTATTCTGATAACGTGATACGGTTCAGATATAAACTTCCTGTTTAGTACCGAAATCATAGCTAAAGCACGTAGTAACGGCTTCAGACAGAGCCCTAAGTATGTTTACGATCCATCTCCATGTAAAACATCGCATGTTTACTTACAACGGTTCATCACTTGTGACGATAAAATTTAAATCTGATTACAGATTTAGCGCAACCGTCATACTATTTTCTTACAGACTATTAACAAATTGCCTAACAGCAACTGCATAGCTTAAGAATACATAATACCACACCAGCATTTTATTGTTACATAGCATTTTGAGGCTAACTGAGATATGTCGTAAATTACTGGTCAGTTGTCTCCCTTTCCGAAATAAATATGATAGTGGGTTATATGCAGTGTTGTGGTAACTTTTCTCTACTGAATTTTAAATATAAATATAAAATATGCGACCCACTGCATGTAATGTTTCACAGTCTGCTTCTATTCATTCTGTTCTGCACAACTCGATACAAGTTAGTAATGTTTCAGTTTTTAATGGAAATTTCAATTCGCCTTTGGGACTAAATTGTCTGGGCTGTCTACATCCGATGCCGACATGATAATCCAAGTATCATAGTACGTAACAGTAACCAGTAGTTGCAATAACTTGGGAATCTAGAAGTTCGTCACCATTTTCTGCCTTTCGACTATTAAGCGTTCATTTCTTATACACAAGTACGCTGTAATAGCATTTTTCATAAAGCACAAAAATAAAAATATCTTACGACGCTTATAGGCATTCGCCTTCATTCTATTACACCGGTTTTTATAAAAAACGATAATTACTATCCATATACTGAAGGTTTATATTTGTCAGAAATCTTTCCCTTCGCATCTGCTTTGTGAAGTTCACCGTTTCTGAGAACCTAATAAAAGAAAGGAAAATAATGTTTCGCGTGTAAATGATCGCTTTTGGAATTGTGCAGCAATATAAATTACGGAATGAATTAAATATATCAGCAGAATAATTTTCATATAAAAGTATATAAAAAATTATCCTTACACCGAAATACCTGCGTGATTCTCACAGTTCATGATTCCCTGAAGCAAATAACCATAACACTTGTGTAATGCATACATGATGAGGTGGGAGGAAAGTTTTTACATGTTTCTGCAGCCATGAAATGTGTCTGTTGCCTATTAAACTTCAAGACGAAATCCTGTTTCACTCCTTCGTAG